TTGAATGGTATATAAATATATATATAAATATTGGTGGTCTTAATTTTACATAATGCATTCCAACTGATCATAAAACTAATATCATAAATTATTAATTCATAAATATTATTTAATTTTTGGGGAAAGTTGCACCACATGACATTTTACAGCCTAAACTTTACGGCCAGACATGTTGATGTTGAAACAAAAAAAAAAAAGGGAAATAATTTCAAATGAAATTTTGGATTCTAGACTTTTGGACACATTAATAAATCTCCTCTAAAACTCTGCAGAAGGCACACATGAGATTGCGGAGGTTTGATTCTCAGGAGACTTCCTCTGCCTTCTAGGAGAAGCAACTGAGACTGAAGAGAGATTTCATCTGTGATTTTCTTTCCAGTGGAAGTAACAGTAACGTTCAGAGACTCATGTGGCCTTCCTGTTCCTTCTGACCGTGCCTTAAGAAGTGATGGGCCGCTCTGCACTGCATCTGACTCCTTCAGGACACTGGAGTTATTCAAAGAGCGGGGATGAGCCCTGACAATGCCATATTATCAGCTGGAATCTCTAGGTCTGCAAAAGGAAAATACTCTTTCTCAGTGTCACACTGAAGAGAGATCCCTAAACCTGACACTGAGGAGAGCCATTTAAGAGCACTGAACACTGCCAGCTATTCATGTGCGCCTGTGAAGAGAATGGCCACTCTTCTGTCCTCGCCTTGTTTAAAACACAGAGAAGGAAACTCATGAGGGTCCGAGAGACAAGGCAGCGCAGAAACTCGAGCAGCCAGCTGACTCACACATGAATAGAGGCAGCACAATGATAAAGTAATCACCCTCACAATCCCTCGGTTTATCAGCAGCGCGCTCCTCCGCTAGCCTAAACAGATAATGAAATGAAGTATCGCTGGCCTCGCTAACTAATGGAAGACGGGCTATTATACACGCCGGCTGAGAGATGATACACATATCTGTGCTGTTGATCGGCAACACTTGATCTGAAAAACATCGTTCAGATATGCAATTATGTCATTCGAAAAATGTACAAATCGAATTGAGTCGTCTGGGGAATCTTAAGAGAGTTATTGCTAATGGAATTTGAAACCGCATCTCATTGGTTAAAAGTAACAACCTGGATGTCTGGCATTAAATAAGCGGCAGGAATGTCAGCTAACACAATTCATGTGGCAATATGAGATCCATAATCATAGATAGCATAGCTTTTGTTAAAGGGATAGTTCACCCAGAAATAAAAAGTCATCATTTACTATGTCGTTCACGGAGTCTAAAATAATATTAAACCCCTTTGAGTTACATTGTATAGACTAAAAAAAAACTTTTTTTCATCTTTCATTTTAGGGTGAAGTGTCGCTTTAAGATAACACATATGCAAGTGCAAAAAGGTGGTCTCGGGTGACTGTCTTCAGCCTTGCTTGCTTACTTAAGAAATACAATAAGATTATACAATAAATATGTTGTAAAGGAAGTTATTAGGCACAATGAAGAGTTGAAATGTAGCTTATAACTTTATATTCAATAAATTTTTACAGAGATTAAAAAACTTGATAAAATAAAAAATAAAACATTACATGCTTAGAAAAAATAACTTCATATTCACAATATAGCAGAACCTCAAGTGCTTGTAACACTCCAAAGAGAAAGGAAAAATTGAAATCGCATCATATGACCCCTTTAAGAATTTAGCTCAGCTACAATGCTATATTGACCAATCAGCATCCAGGATCGAAACAATGTATTTTAGAACTGGAAATAAAGACCATACCATTTATTATTATAAACATAACACTTAGAACTGCTAAGTTCTGAAATGTTTTTGAGGTCGTGTCAGCCGTTTACTCACCGACCTAACAGCACATTGTTCAATTTTAGGAGAGTTTCTCGTTGTTAAAGTGACTATAAACCCTGCTTGACTCACTTTAAGCACACAATAGGGGCACCTTTACAGGACAGGAGCTGTCAATGTTAAGCAGCTGGAATAAAATTCACTCAAGAGAGATCATGACTCTGCCTCAGGCTGACAGAGAAGCCATTAGCGTCAGAGGTATATTGGATAAACCTGAGACGAAATACAGCCTTTTACAACACAATACAATATCTTACACTAGATTCATCAAAGCCATCTGATACTCATGCACGTGGCAGATAATAAAGAAACTGATCATTGAGGATCAATGTTATAAGCCACTATAAAATTTACCACAGAGTGAAATAATTCGCCAAAATATGATGCAAAAACATTTTCTGCCCACATGAATTATTGCTCATTGTCAGTATTTTTGTAAAGCGATGGGGGAAAGCTTACTTTTACTCCAGTGGATATTTCTCAGGGTAGGTTTATTTCTGTATAGACATACCTCAAAGTCTTGGCTTCAAAACAGCTATTGAACATTTCCACTGTTATTGCCCAGGAAACAAGATCCAGTTAATTAAACACAAGGTTGTCACAAGGGGAACCTACCTATTAAAGGCTATTTAAAAGCCTATAATAGTCTTTAAAATTATAGGCTTTACTCAGTGAAATTCAAACAGTTACACAATCATGAAACAGAACAGTTCATGAAACCATTGTTATGGTCATCATATATTACATTATCATTAATTATATAAAATGGATAAAAAAACACACGTGACAATCTGTCCCAACCATGAGAAATATACTCTTTGAGTTAAAAAAAGGCCTATTTTTCGTTGATGAATGTATGCGAGTGTGGTTTTACTGCCTTCATTTGTTACGCAGCAACTACAGCAAAACGATATTCACTCAAGAGAGATCATGACTCTGCCTCAGGCTGACAGAGAAGCCATTAGCGTCAGAGGTATATTGGATAAACCTGAGACGAAATACAGCCTTTTACAACACAATACAATATCTTACACTAGATTCATCAAAGCCATCTGATACTCATGCACGTGGCAGATAATAAAGAAACTGATCATTGAGGATCAATGTTATAAGCCACTATAAAATTTACCACAGAGTGAAATAATTCGCCAAAATATGATGCAAAAACATTTTCTGCCCACATGAATTATTGCTCATTGTCAGTATTTTTGTAAAGCGATGGGGGAAAGCTTACTTTTACTCCAGTGGATATTTCTCAGGGTAGGTTTATTTCTGTATAGACATACCTCAAAGTCTTGGCTTCAAAACAGCTATTGAACATTTCCACTGTTATTGCCCAGGAAACAAGATCCAGTTAATTAAACACAAGGTTGTCACAAGGGGAACCTACCTATTAAAGGCTATTTAAAAGCCTATAATAGTCTTTAAAATTATAGGCTTTACTCAGTGAAATTCAAACAGTTACACAATCATGAAACAGAACAGTTCATGAAACCATTGTTATGGTCATCATATATTACATTATCATTAATTATATAAAATGGATAAAAAAACACACGTGACAATCTGTCCCAACCATGAGAAATATACTCTTTGAGTTAAAAAAAAAGGCCTATTTTTCGTTGATGAATGTATGCGAGTGTGGTTTTACTGCCTTCACTTGTTACGCAGCAACTACAGCAAAACGATGCTTAAGTTATTATTTTATTTTTAATTAAAATTATAATTGACCTTTTTTCACTGCACATTGGGCTACTTTTATTTTATATTATGTTTTCAATTTCCCGATGCAGTTAACATGTGCTTCGTGTCATATGATGGAAATGTAATGCCGCGCTTTAAGAAAAGAAATTTAGGCCAACTTTAGCCTTTAGGATTTTCCCTCAATTTAAATGGACACACAGCGTCATCTTGTGGACAGAGACACCACAGCACTAGATTAGACGTTCAAAAATCTTAAATAAATAAATATGTTCTGTAGCTAAATTGGAAGGATTATGGTCTATGTGGTTTTCCTCCTTATTTTTAACTTAAGAATGTGCGCTGCTTCCGGTGCCATTCGCTTCCAGCTATTTTACCTGTGCAAAAACAGTCTGTTTGATAGTGCAAACTGGTAGGCTTGTCATATTATGTTTAATTCATTCTCATAATCATAGACACGCTGCACGCTGATTAGTAGCGCAGTTTTACAGTTTACTCCACTGTTATTCTTTTCCAGTTATGTGCCTACAGTGGCTTGCTTTATTTATTTTTTCAGGTTTTTTTATTTTTTTTATGGAAGGCCGTTTCCGCCACTTAATTAAAAAATAATAATAATTTAAAAAAGGTAATTGCGCCTTTGTATCTCTCAATTCTGACTTTTTTTCCCTCAGAATTGCGAGTTTATATCATGCAATTCTGAGAAAAAAGTCAGAATTGTGAGATAAAAAGGCGCAATTACCTTTTTTATTTTTTTTTTTCAGGGCGGAAACGGGCTTCCATACTTCTAAGATTCAGATGCACTATACAAAAAAAAAAGATAAGAAGGCTTTTTTTTGCATAGCAGTCATAATATTTATTTTTTCAGGTTTTTTTTTTTTTTTATGGAAGGCCGTTTCCGCCACTTAATTAAAAAATAATAATAATTTAAAAAAGGTAATTGCGCCTTTGTATCTCTCAATTCTGACTTTTTTTCCCTCAGAATTGCGAGTTTATATCATGCAATTCTGAGAAAAAAGTCGGAATTGTGAGATAAAAAGGCGCAATTACCTTTTTTTATTTTTTTTATTCAGTGGCGGAAACGGGCTTCCATAGGTGTTTTTTTTTGTTGTTGTTGTTTTTTTTACTTTCAAAATTACAAACTTCAGCAAGTTCATTTACACATTTTCTCACAATTATTAAAAGGCATCAAAAACATATGTTAAATTAATTTAACAGAGACACAGTTCACAGGGCTTTTTGATTTTTATAACTTTACAGATTCAAAATAAACTCCGTTTAGTCTGATTACAGGCAATTATCCTAACAACAACAAAAAATCGATAATATGTCATTTAATAAGAGTCATGTTCATTTGAATAAAGACAATTAATTTTAATCTTCGATTACAACTTTACTCTCCTCACATACTTTAATGCAAATTACGACCGGTAACACCCACATTACTACATTTCCCAAGATCCCCTCGCTCCCCAAGCGCACGCTCTAGTATCGCGATATTATCTAAAACACTTGGCGTTGTATCGCGAGATTACTTTTGCTGTCTGTACAGCACTAAAAACTGTCAGTGAGGTTAGAGGGGGTAAGAATTTCTCAAATCGGCGACTGCCGTTCAAACAGCGGCGTGAATGTCCAAACCTGTGCAATTACAAACGTAACGTGTGACACTGAGGGGAAAAACGGCAGCGTCCTCCTCCAAACTGTGCAGGCCAACAGTCTCTGAACTAGAGCAAACAGTGCTGTAACACAGCGAGCAAATGGCGTTGAAAAGAATCCAGAAGGTGAGTCTGTGTGCATCGTGTGGATCGCATAACCTCACAGCCTCTGTCGAGGTCCTCCTCATCATCTCAAATGCTGTTGTGAGTGTGAAGCAGTCGCACTTTTCTCATTCGGTCCCCATCTGGTCAAGACAAAGACCAATGGTGGATGCATGCAGTCGGTAGACGCACTGATCATTACAGATTCACGCACACGCTGATACAAACACTCACCGTTACTTAGATATACGCCTAATCTTGAGTGTTTGTTTTGCGCAATACGTGCTCGACAGCGTCTGTTGTCGATATGCGATGTTGCAGCGTAAGGATCTGCGCGCATAGTAACGCATGATTTGGGGGTTTACGGGTGCTGTTGTGACTGATTTGTGGCATGTAAGTGCGTGGGCGCTGGAAACATTTTTAAAAATGTATATTTTCTGTCGTCGATCACCATGATGAGCGAAGCGCCGCTGGTGCGCATGCGTGATGGGCGACAACTGCTTTCGAGTTGCCAAATGCTGAACCCTAATGTCAGTGTGTCCATATATGGCTTGGCAAATAGGGCACTAGGACAGCAGAGGGTATATTTTTTTTTTTTTTTTTTTTTTTTATAATTGTCCCTACAATTCAGCATATAGTTTTATTTGGTCAGATAGTTTGAGGGTTGGCTCCTTATTGCACTGACGTCATTTAATGACATGTAATGTTGCTCTGTTGTTGTGTACAGTGTTACATATGTACTGCTCCATTAAAGCCATTTATGTTTTTTTTTTAAGTGTGCTGAGATTTGAAGTTATTGAAAGTGCTGTCGATGAACAGCTGACACGCTCTGCATCTATCTTTAGAGAGGCGTTTCAGGCGCTGAGTCAGACAGCAACTTCTAGCAATACAAACAGCCGCTCAAGAGGTGAATTACAGGGGTGACATGGCCATGAGGATGAGATATGAGATATTTCAGATGAATGATTCCGAACAGTTACAGAAATACACCTGATGCCAAATACTGAGCCACACTGTCAGAATACAAGCAGTGCTCGAAACTAGCAAACCTCAGTAGAGAAGTTGGTCCGAGACAGACAAACAGTACACTGTAAATATTGTCCAGCGTTTGTGTAAAAAAGAAGAAGTGGAGATTAAGTTTCCTTAATTCAGATTAACATTGTAGCAACAGTTATATTATTGTTGAAAGAACGCTTTAAGATAGAAACTGGGTCAAATGCCAGCACTGAGCATTAATAAAAATACATATGAATCTCATGAAACATATCAAGAACATATTTAGCTCCTATTTTACCCCCAAATTAAAAGGAAATAAATGAATACAGTTTTAAATATAATGCATATCCAATACCGTTCAAAAGTCTGAGTTAAGTAAGTCTTTTGATTTAATAAATTAATGTTTTTTTTTGGGGCACAGTGTTTATGAACAGCATTTTTTTACCCGATGTATTATTGTTTGCATTATTTAATTTTAAATTCTTGATGTTTAAGTGGAGTCTGTGGATTGATTGATTAATTATAATCACCCGCTGTATGTCGTCTGTTATATAATCATTGAGAAGCAAAGAATTGTCACACTAAGGCAGATAGCCGAGACGTTTGTCTATTTTATCTCCTGTTTCAATTGTAATATAAAGATTTAATGAGTGCAGACCAACCTTTGTTATGTTTGAATAAATTAATAATTTCAATGCATCAGTTCATTCAGCAAGGATGCAATAAATTGATCAAAAATGACAGTGAAGACATTTATGTTAGAATTTATAATCGTTTATAATGATTTGTATTTTAAATAAGTACTTTTAAGCATTCTGTTCACCAAATAATTCTTTTTAAAATAGTAACAGTTTGCACCAAAATATTAAATGTAAATTTATTATTATTACATATTAATAAGAAGAAAAAAATAGGTCAATATAATTCTTAAGCATCAAATCATCACATTAGAATGATTTCTGACGGATCGTGATACTGAAGACTGGAGTAATGATGCTGAATATTCGGTTTTGCATCACAGGAATACATTACATAAAAATATATGAAAAAATACAGTTTTTGCTGGTTTTGATCAATAAATGCAGTCTTGGTGAGCATTGAGACTTATTTCAAAAACATAATAATATACAACTTGTTAGTTGAACTACCTTGAATTGCTGATTTAAATTACTAGCTCAATATTTTTGTCTTTATGCATAATATATATATTTTTCTTTTGGTGATAGTGAGATTCATACGGATACACTTTTACCTCTATCACATTTTGAAAAATGTAAGAGCTTATCTTTTTAAAAAAGGACATGCTATTTCTGATTTCAGTCACACCCTTTGTTTATGAAGGCATATTTCATTCTCAGATCTGTTTGTAAGGTACTATGAGATGACTGCCACAGCGTTGGTTGTGCTGGCAGTGCTCCGGAAACAATCTCTATCTCAATATGGAAACAAACCTCAGAGCCAAAGCATTAGGAGTATGTGTTGGCAACCACATTACTCTAACATGAGCCAAATTCTGTTTTTAGAAAGCATTTTGAGTATCCTGGTGCTGATAACATTTTGATCAGACCAAGAATCCTTTGTGTCTTTTGTCAGTTTTCTCTGAAGTACACTCATAATCAAATAATCAAGATTTCCTGCACCTGAAATGCTGTTTTACATGACATGGCCATTTGGTTTCCCTCAGGAACTGACAGACCTACAGAGAGATCCACCAGCCCAGTGTTCAGCAGGTCCGGTCGGAGAGGACTGTGAGTATATGAGTTACTATTGAGTTACTGTTTTGTCAGATTACTGTTTCAATATAAAGATATTCACTCTAATAGAGATCCCACTTAGATCGTCCAACACTAACTAACTACCATTCTCAGCATACATTGGATCAGGTCTTGCTCTGCTTCAATACTGCATATTGATTTTATATAATGAATCATGTTTTTCAGTGTTTCACTGGCAGGCAACAATAATGGGGCCGGTAAGTAGCCATTTTTCTGCCTTATTCTTTTCAAATTACAGGGTTCCCATAGTCGTGAAATATCAGGGAATTGTGATTTCCAGTTCTGGGAAAAAATCAATACACTTAAGATTAATAAAATTAATAGACTTAAAATGAATAAAATCTTGGGAAAATCATGGAAATTCATTGGTCAAAATGCGTGGTAACCCTGAAATTAGTTAAAGGGATAGTTCACCCAAAAATGAAAATTACCCCATGATTTACTCCCCCTCAAGCCATGCTAGGTGTTTATGACTTTCTTCTTTCAGACAAATACAATCGAGTTATATTTAAAAAATGCCCTGGCTCTTACAAGCTTTATAATGGCAGTGAATGGGTGTCGAGATTTTGAAGCCCAATAAAGTGCGTCCATCCATCATAAAAAGTGCTCCACATGGCTCCACGGGGTTAATAAAGGCCTCCTAAAGTGAATCAGTGTGTTTGTGTAAGAAAAAACCATGTTTAAAACTTTATAAACCATAATCTCCAGCTTCCGCTAACTGCCGTACGCGCATTCACAAGAGAGTGGCGTTCCAGTGGATGATGTAGGACGTAGGCGTAGTTTAGTTTACAGCGAAGGAAAAACAGTCTAGTCTTGGATTATATCGAAATCCTTCAACATTTTTCTTTACAAATCCTTGTTTTGTACTTCTAATTCGTGAGCGGTGTTGTGCTTTGCTTTCTCTTCTGCGCTTCTGCGTTCGTTACTTCTCACCGGACCCTACACTACGTCCTACGTCATCCGCTGAAACGCCACTCTCTCGTGAACGTGTGTACAACAGTTAGCGGAAGCTACAGATTACAGTTTATAAAGTTTTAAATATGGATATTGTTCTTACACATACACATTGATTCACTTCAGAAGGCCTTTATTAATCCCCGGAGCCGTGTGGAGCTCTTTTTATGATGGATGGACGCACTTTATTGGACTTCAAAATCTCGACACCCATTCACTACCATTATAAAGCTTGGAAGAGCGAGGACATTTTTTAAATGTAACTCGATCGTATTCATCTGAAAGAAGAAAGTCATGTACACTAGTGTTAATTTAGTTAACGAAGTCTATGATGAAAAATGTTCGTTGACGAGCTTTTTTCCCATGACTAAGACAAGACAAAGACGAGATGACAATAAGGTCAATAAACGATAACTAAGACTATATCAACATGCAATTTCGTTGACAAAATTAGACGAGACTAAAATGTATTCAAAAAGATAAAAACTTTACCAAAACCCTCTTTTTATTTTCGTCAAAAAAGGAGACAAAATGTTATTGTAGACTGCTCTACTACGCGAGTTTTCATGAGTGCGGTTGCCAGATATCAAGAGTTCTAATCCCCGAATCAGAGCTTCGCTATTAAATTCATACATTTTCTGCCCGATGTGTTTTGTTTATTTTAAGCAATCTAGCAACCATGCGCATGCGCTCGCTCCTCATTGTGGAAGCGCCACCGACGATGATCTGAAAAACAAATAAGCTGGAGTTTAGCGGTCTAAATGAAAGCATCATTCAGCCGGTCAGTGTTCTGTCATGATTTTCTTGGACTAAAACTAGACTAAAATGTTGAGACTTTTAGTCGATTAAAACTTGACTAAAACTAAATAGGATAAGGTTGACTAAATATGATTAAAAACTAACAAGGACATTTTAGCCCAAGACTAAGACTAAAATGAAAATAGCTGACAAAATTAACACTAATGGACACCTAGGATGGCTTGAGGGTGAGTAAATCATGGGCTAATTTTCATTTTGGGGTGAACTATCCCTTTAAGAAAAGTTTTTAAATTATTTAAAAGGGACATTTAGCACCTTTTATAGCATTTTATTTTCTTCTAGAAGTCCACTTACAATGTTTCATACAATGAAAGTTTGCTTGTAGCAGAACCAGTTAAAGTTTAGTGAAATAATCAGGTTACTGTACCTTTAACACTGCTATATGTAAATAGCCTTTGTTCTGATTGGCTGATCTTCACGTCCAAGATTTGTTCATAAGATTTGCACTGTGAATGTTTGTATACATTGTACAAAAAAAAGTCATTTAAACTAACAGAATGTTACATTTTTTAATTAATTTGTCCTTGTCATACATATAAATAAAATATTGCCTGTTTTGTGACAATTGCAGTACATGCATATATTAGCAAAGCTGTGTTCTTGGTTTTTAGAATGACAGTCCATATCAAGGAGGGGTTTTCTTCCTTACAATTCATTTCCCAACAGACTACCCCTTTAAACCACCAAAGGTAAGCTGCTTTGTGATATTCATTATGTTAGGAGACTTTAGTCAAATACAAATGTACGTAATGGTTTGTGATTCTGTAATCAGTACACTTTGCATTGATTGACAGGTCGCATTCACAACAAAAATCTACCACCCCAATATTAACAGTAATGGCAGTATTTGTCTGGACATCCTGCGATCTCAGTGGTCACCTGCACTTACTGTATCCAAAGGTAAGATTCAGGCAGCATCTCAATGCATGATGCAAGCACTTTGAAAATAAAATGTAAAAAATCTGCAGTACCTTATTGCTGTATATGTACATTACACTACCATTCAAATGTTTGGGGTTAGTACGTTTTTTTTGTTTTTGTTTTTAAGAAATGAATGCCTTTATTCATCAAGGATGCATTAAATTGATCACAAATGAAAGTAAAGACATTAAAATGTTTCAAAATATTTCTATTTCAATTAAATGCTGTTCTTTTTAATTTTCTATTAATCAAAAAATCCTGAAAAAAATTGTATTATGGTTTCCACAAAAAATATTAAGCAGCGCAACCGTTTTCCACATTAATAATAATCAGAAATGGTTCTTGAGCATCAAATCATCATATTAGAATGATTTCTGAAGTGACACTGAACACTGGAGTAATGTTGCTGAAAATTCAGCTTTTCATCACAGAAATAAACTATATTTTAAACTTTTGAATTGTAATAATATTTCACAATATTGCTGTCTTGCATAAGTTAAAACATGAAATCTTGAATGGTACTTATGATGTATTCACATTGCAGGTATGAAGTTGTATTGATTGTAGGAATGCTTATTTTCAGGAATTTCAGGAATTATTTATTAATCAATCAATTGTTAATTGGAGAGCTGCGAAATGCAGTATGTGCAGGACTCAATGTATGTTCATGTAGCCTGATTTAAATATTAAATATTTTGACTTTAAACATTACTTAATTATATTACCAAATCATAACATGCCGTTGATGTACAGGTTAAAAGTCACCATTGCATCGGCCAGTAGAACCTACAGTATATGTTCTCCTGTTCAGGAAAACCGACAGATGATTGTTATAATTTAGGTATTATGATGTTCTCATGTGGCTTGAGCACTTGTTGGACAGACACTGTTTGACTGTTTGTTTTGGCATCTCTGGCTAATAGCAGAGCGCTGAGCCCAGTGTGGCTTATTGTGTTGTCAGACTGTAGTGATTACTCGTTGTTCTAAGCAATGACCTAGTTTGGATCACTCCACGGGAAGCTGTTTGTGTTATATGACAAACTAACACAAGGCAGCTCCTCATTCCAGCAGTATAGACGATCAGGAGGTTTTGGTATTATATCTTTTTAATGTGTTTCCTTTCTTTTTTAGTCTTGCTGTCCATCTGCTCCCTGTTATGTGACCCGAACCCAGATGACCCGCTGGTACCTGAGATCGCACATACATATAAAGCAGACAGAGAAAAGTGAGTGACAATTACGTGCATATTTGAATGGCTTTTTACATTTTTTTTTTATTTTTCTTGTTTTGATCAAATGCCTATTTTTGGAAAATCCAATGAATCGAAAACAAATGAAAAGTACTTCATTGCTTGTGATGTGTTTCTGCTTTTATTTGATGGGCGAGTGTACAAAAACAGCTTTATGTAACAGAACAAAATACTCAGAACAGTACAACTGTTATACTGCAGATTGTGCACTCTGATTGGATGAGCCACATTCAGAGCTGTTGTAAAATTGCCAATACATGCACACGTGAGACTGTTAAATTCTGTATTAATCTGCCAGGTTAGTTGCGACATTGCGACCTGAACTTCTCTCCATATTACACCCATTAATAAAAAGCTCTTCCTTGTCTTGGCTTGTTTGGGACGTGTTAGTCTCGTGTAGTCAGATTTTTGACTGATGCCGTTAGGTCTGTAGCCACTTTGACTGGCCATGGACTGCTCACTTTTGTAAAAGGAAGACGTCTGACTGTACAGTAAAGTGACCAATAACAGTTTGCTTTCTTCAGCGTCATGTTTAGGGGCAGATGAATGTTCCAGACAGGTGTGTTGGCTAAAAGCATAGTTAAAGGGATAGTTTAGCCAAAAATGATAATGTGCTGTTAATTTCTACATCCAAGATGTAGGTGATTTTTTTCTTTCTTTCATTTATAAGTTTGGGGTTATTAAGGTTTTTAGTTTTATGAAATTAATACTTTTATTCAGCAAGGATGCATTAAATAGATCACAAATGACAGTAAAGACATGCATAATGTTACGGAAGATTTCTATTTCAAGTAAAGCCTGTTCTTTTGAACTTTCCATTCATCATAGAATCCTGAAAAAAAATCCACAAAAATGAAAGTCAACAGTTGCCATCACATCAAGAGTCAAAAAAGCTACTAGGCAATACAGAATCGATACCTGCGGCTCCTGACGATATATTGAGGTCTTATGAAGTGAAACGATCGGTCGGTGCAAGAAACTGTTCATTATTTACAACGTTATTAACTGTGATCCAGAGCCTCAGACAAACGGGGAAATCCGATTCATTTACGCAAACTAGTTATTTTAGTTTGTTTCTGGTTTATTTACATAACCACTCAATGGCGTAACGTATAAGCAATTATATTATTAAAGCACCCAATAATGATGTGAAACATGAATACAAAGCGTAAAGTGAATAAACTAGCCTTAATAAACTCACCTTTTTAAATAAACCATGAGAAACCAAAAAAACATTCATTTTGCCTCTTCATTCATTTGCATACCAGTCCGAGTCGAACTGTTTCCTCAGTTCAGAGACTGTTGGAGGAAGTGGAGCGCTGAATGAGTTGGCAAAAACCAGCATCATAGGATCATATATGCTGGTATTTTGGCTCATTTCGAGTCGGAGTGACTGTCAGGCATCTGAAAGTGAGTTTTGATTGAGTAACTTGTAGATCTGTGTTGCTCAAGCCGCAAACTGTTTTAGACGGTTCAGTCCTTTGTGATTGAACCAATAAACAGTGTCACATTATATCCACTTTATGTAAAGCATTCTTTCCCACTGTTAAAGGTGGGGTAAGTGATTTCTGGTAGCCAATGTTGATATTTCAAATCACCAAAACAAACACGCCTGTACCCCAAACGGGTCTCGCCCCTATTTTGATAGCTCCGCCCCAAACATACGTATGCAACCCAGGCAACGATTAGTTCTGTGAAACAAAGCAAAACCAATGTTACACCGTGTCTACACCGGACGCGAGTGGCGCGGTGCGACAAAATACTATGGAACTCATTATAATCAGTGATGCTGTCTACACCATAGATATATATACATATCTATGTTCTACACTGGATGCGGCGCGGCATGTCAAATCCCCGACAGAAAACTGCTGCTGCGTTCTATTTATGACGTATTGACACAAATTTCAAATGATTTTCAACGGTCGCTTTGTCGCGTCCAGTGTAGACAGACTTTAGCTGTTGCGGCGCGGCGCGACAACTCTCTCGTCCGGTGTAGACACATAAGCCTTCTTTTGTTCCGCAGACGTTTTCCTCTTTTGTTTTTTATCCGCCATCTCTATCTTTCTGTCGCTCGGCTAATGTCCGTCCTGTGCACTGAGCGCTCTCTCCTCCACATCATGAGTAGACACGCCCCTTACTGCTGATTGGCTACAAGTTTGTTTTGGTACTTGGCCCGACTCAGTTTTCTAGAGCGTTTTTGAAAAAATACATACCCCACCTTTAAATAAAACAGAAATGTGGCTTGAATTAGATTGTAAGAGTTTATCCTTTTTATGCTTGTAGGTACAACAGACTAGCGAGAGAATGGACGCAAAAGTATGCCATGTGAGAGTGCCTGCGACTAAAACACTGCAGAATCAAACGGACAGAGAAGCGTGTTTTTACTTTGAACAAGAGGAGTCAAAAGAAGTGGATGTTGAGGGGAGGGACCCTTGGAAGGAAAGCAAAAGGCGGAGGTGAGGAGGTGAGAGCCGCTGGTACATGTTGGCCGCTATGTGCTGAATCTGCTGTCATGTGCCGTTCTCCCAGATCCGCCGCCACAATGGCTTAGCCTGGAAAACTCCAGGAAAACTGTAAAACCGGACAAACCTCGGGGAACCACAACCCAGGAAGTTAGACTTGTACTACTGTTAGTTCTGTTATTACTGTCATTATGATTTTCTCAGTGTTGCATTCTCACTCTTGTCATCACTGAACGAGGAAACGTCGGGCTGAAGTTGGAATTGCGGCGATACAGGATTGATCGTGTCTGAACCATCGCACCGTCCCGTTGGAGTCCCTGTGGAAACCATAGTTGTGTGTGCACTCATGCACTTGACATTTTTAACAGTTTGTGGTAGAATGTAAAAAATCGGATGTCAGAAAGACCTTACTGTAGTCTCCAACTTCCTGCCGTTTCAGTGTTATCCCATAAAACACTATGAATGTGATTAGGAAGAGGTTGTGTCCTAATGAGATAATGCGATTTGATTTTTGAACAAATGGAGGTCATAAATAGTCAAGTGAGTCTATATCTTTGTGCTATAAAAAAAAAATTAAACCTAACACCAGGTCCTAACCAGACGCGATGCAAAGAGATTCCATATACCCTCATTCACTGTTCCCTACGTTACTTCACTAATATAGCCCACTTACAGGAGTGAATGAAAACAAGTGTGTGAACCTGGACTCTGAGTACACCAGAAGAGCTGCAGGAATTAATTTGGCTCAACCCTCACATGTTTTTAGTTGAGTGTACATTGGTTGTACACTAGATATCGAGATGCATTGAATGAGTGCACTCGATAATGTCCACTTCGGTTGCAATCACCACTACAAATGGCAGTTTCCTCCAATAGTGACCTTTTAAGGGTATGTATGGGGCGAATTTGTCTGTCCACACCAGGTGCGACAAGGCACAAGATGCAACAAAATCAATCACAACTCACAGCCAATCAGAAGAGTGTGGGCGGAGCTCTCTCTGAAAGCTTACTGCTCTCTCGCTGTGAAATGGATATGTAATTTCATCAGATTTAACTCAAATATATATATATATACTCAGTGACTGATACAATTTTGTCATTTTTGTTGTGAAATACACTTGTTTGTTCACAGAGTTCACAGTTTGATCTTGTTTATTTCAAGGTGTTTTCAAGATCTGAGGTAAATTATCCATTGTAGCTTTCATTATGGCGTTAAATTCATACAAAAATGACGTTCATAACGCAAATGGAACTTTTAATATTGTACATACCGGAGATGAGTCTAATCGTTGTCAGCCACGAGGTAGCAGAAATTGGAAAAAAAAAAAAAAATTGTTACATTTAAAATTAAGTTTTTGAAAAATAGAATCACTCGTCGCTTATCGCCATCGCTGTTGATTAGGACAAAAGCAAAATGTTAAACAAACCTTTTTCTCGTGGCGTGTTGCATTACGTCTCATTAGGACACAGTGTTATTTTTAATTATTAGACATAAATATTTTTTTATTTGGTTATAATCATATCTCCTTTTGACATTGTTTATTTAACCTTGAGCGTTGGTCGATTTCAGAATTAAGCTGGCCGTTCACACAGGGCATGTTCTTGCTTTCCATTTGCGCTGTATTTTTAATGTTGCTCTATGTAAACGTTCATCGTTTGATGTGCAGTGGAATGGTGTCGATTTGAAAAGAATGGACCAATCAGATGAATCTGGAGGCACGTTAACCGTATTTACTGTACATATGGACAAGCTCCGTCAACCTGTTTTTAATGCAAAAACGTGTCTTGCACGAACGGCCACTAAATTTAATTCACCTCAGCTGCATGTGCATGATATGGCAGATGTGTAAGTATTTGTTTTGATAAGTATTGTGAAGTTGCTTTAGGAATCAAGGCAGATTTTTATACTTGTCTTAAAAATTCACCCAATTTGTTTGCAGAAAAAAAAGAGGGAGCAAAAAAGCTGAACGGTGGGACTGTGTGGGGAAAAAAAAAAGAGAAATGCCACCATTTCTGCCAAATGTGATTATGCCCCTTTCAGATTTGCAGGCAATGGGCACGTCATAGCGTATGAATGCAATATTTTTTTGGCTACTTAGCATTGATCTCTTCTACAAATCTGTCTGCAAAAGTGTAATCTTTAGATACTCTTGTTCCTGTAGTCACTAATATTACTAACTTTTGACAGTTGATGGTACGTTTGATGTATGACCAGCGCAGGTGCTGGACTCAAGTACTTTTACTGTAAATTAATTTTTGTAAACTCATTAACTCATGGCTGCCTATTTAGAGGTGGATGATCAAGATGTTTACACAGAGCAGAATGAAAAAAAAAAATTTTCTTCACTCGTCTAAATATGACTAAATATTGCCAGAATTATAGTAAGCACCATATATGTGTTCTGTCACCAAGAGAATTGACATTTGTGTCCAGTATAGCTTTGGATGATCCAAACTTTTTGAAACGGCAGTATAGCTAAGGGATAGTTTACAACAAAATGTGAATTCTGCAATCATTTACTCACTTTTCCAAACAGAATTGATGACTTTCCTCTGTGAAACACAAAAAGAGATATTTTGAAGCATGTTCACACTGCTGTTTTCATACAATGAAAGCAGATGGGGACCATGAACTTTCAAGCTCCAAATCAAAAGTTTGCCATTTGTTCAAAACTAAAATCTTGGTAGATATTTATTGGAAATCTTTGCAATTGTTGCTTGACCGCTGTGGTCCCCATTCACTTTAATTGTATGGAAAAGAGCAGCATGAACAAACTTCAAAATTTCTCCTTTTGTGTTTTACAGAAAAAGGTCATCAGTTGGATTTGGAAAACATGATGGTGTGTAAATGATGATAGATTTTGTTTTTCCTTCCTTTTTTTTTTCTTTTTAATTGAAGTGAATGTAAAATCTTATGCCAACTTCTGCTAACTTTGATTCAAAGACCAATGGTATCGTCTTTGCATCAGTAAAATTTTCACTACTAAACGTGGCTTTTGCGTCTGGAAGTAGAATGTTACATTTAAGTTATTTATTTATTTTACATGATGGTGTGTAAATGATGATAGATTTTGTTTTTCCTTCCTTTTTTTTTTCTTTTTAATTGAAGTGAATGTAAAATCTTATGCCAACTTCTCCTAACTTTGATTCAAAGACCAATGGTATCGTCTTTGCATCAGTAAAATTTTCACTACTAAACGTGGCTTTTCCGTCTGGAAGTAGAATGTTACATTTAAGTTATTTATTTATTTTCTATTTATTTGTCGTCTTCCAGTCATCAGCTCAAATGCAGTGAGTTGCTTCTCTCTGATGCTTCGTCTGAAGCAGCCGGTCGAGTTGCAACTCTTTTTGAGATTGTGCTAAGGCAGTATAGCATGCTTTGCACTCTGGTAGTCTACAAACGTTTTCCCGCAGCTATTTGCAAGATATCAGGGATCTTTTTTCCATTCTCTCACCTCCCTCAAGACCCTCAATAAAACCTTAGCCTTAACCATCAATGTATAAGCAACTGTACTGTTTACTTTGTTTTAACTGTTGATTGGTACTGTACTACTTTGTGTATCACATACACACGTACACAGAGCCATAATGACCTCTCCTTGCTAACTGTTTGTGCTAGAAAACCCTGTCATCTAACCAGCTCTCTCCTCAGACTCAGTACAGCTGAGACTAACCTCCAAGGTGTCAACTTTAGTGAATAAAGCTCCTTTTGTTTAATACCTTCTCTTGGATTTATTGCAACACCACAGACTTTCAAAATGTTATGGTTAACTGCACTGTCTGACAGAATTTAGATAATAATGACATTTTATAGTGTATTGGATGAATCTCACAAAAAGAAAAAAATATATAAGATAAAAAAATAAACATATATGTAACAAAAAATGAAGCCTGTTCTGAAACATTTAAAATTTTGTTCAATGTAAAAAATTAAGAAAGAAATTTCAACACTGATAATGTTAACAAATGGTTGTGCTGCTGCATTTTTTTTAATTATATCTTGTAAATGTGTATTTTTCTAATTTTGACCATCCCTTGTCTTAAGAAATAAAGGTTGTTCAATTTATAAAACGATTTATTTGGTTAAAACCTATATTATTTGAGCTGTAACGTTGTTTAAATGGTTATTTTACGGTTTAGGATGCTACTATAGACATTCAGTCTCATTTCATTGAATCTGTAGATTTGAAAAAAATACATATTTTATTATTTAGAAAGGTGGTGGTAGTAACCACGCCCATGTGCTGCTTCCATGCCTGTCCAGCAGATGGCGCTGCCGTGTGGTTTATAAAACTCTACTATGCCAGAGAGTTGCTTGGTAACCTTCAGAAGTCTCATGTCCTCATTAATATTCATGAGCCGACTCATCATTCGCCAGCTGACATCCGCCCACATACTTGCGTCAGCCCTGCAGCAAATCAGGGAGGCTTACTGGGCGAACCTCGCTTTGCGTAATTAATATTCATGAGCCACGCCTTCACCATAGTAGGCTTCGTAATGTCGCTCCAGGGAGGAGTGAGTGCTACGTGATGTGGCGCTGCGCGCTTCCTGTCTGCGTAGAGCCGCCGAGAGATCTCCATCTACCCCCGGAGTCCACTGCAGCGTCTGTCCCCAGCGTCGGACGGTCAGAAACCCACAGATTTGCCCATCATGGCTGTGAACCTGAGCAAAAACGGCCCAGCTCTTACCGCGGCCTATAACGAGGTGGTGGGTGAGAAGTCGGAGACTAACTGGTGAGTAGTGACTCAAGGGTAGTGTCTCTGTTACACTCACTGACATCCTCGTGTTTAGCATGTTAGCTGCTCCTTTGGCATTTTAAACGCCCTACTTGTGGTTATCACAACATAGATCATCATTAATGCCCGTTTGGATCAATGCAGTGACGGTTTGTGATGTTAGCGAGATCACTGCACTTTATCCGTGTGCCCTCATCCATTCACAGCTCATGCACAAACACACTGAATCTTCCAGAAATGATTTCCTCCCAGTAATGCACTGTTGCTCTCTGGCCAACGATGAAAGTTTATATTCAATTATGCACATGCTTTGACCTCATTGCAGTGTTGCTTTGCATGCTTGCACGGATGAGATGAGTTGATCTGATCAGTTCAGAAGCGTCCCAACTTCTGGAGAACATGGTGTTTAAGAAGTGCACTCATGTTGAACCACTCCTACCTCCTTATTTCCCTGTAGTTTCCTGTAGTTTTTGTCCATATATGTTGAACCACTCCTACCTCCTTATTTTCCTGTAGTTTTTGTCCATATATGGCTGATGGGTTGACAACTCCCTGCCTACTATTTGTGAGTGCATTTACATGCAATCTCATTGTCTTATAATGAAAAATAATTGCTCTTTGTAGCCAGAATGTTACCGCAAATGTATGAGTGTCAAAGCCAATGAATAGACATCAGTAAGAGACTTCCTCTCGCTCATACGGAAATTATATTAATGTTTGACAGGTTGACACCAGACCAAAGTCCTGTAGCATTGCACCTTGAAGTGTAAGTGAGTTTCAGGTTGAAGAAGTGGAAATGAGGACGAGATTGGTCGGACGCTCTTGAGAAACGGCTATTTGAGTTGAGTCATGAACGCTTCAGAAATGAAGAGTGATTATAAATTACCTACATTAATTACACTCCTCATCCTTCCCAGAGATTTGTGAAAAATCACACAAATACAGACACTCGAGTTTCGCAAATGGGTACAAATAACATGTACATTACTGTTCAAAAGCTTGTGGTCAGTATATTTCTTGTATTCTAGATACTTTTAATACTTCTATTTTATTATTATTATTTTACTTTTATTTTATTCTGCTTTAAATAAAAAAGAATCCTGAAAAAAAGGATCATGGTTTCCCACAAAATTATTAAGCAGTTTTCAACATAACAATTTCAACAAAATAAGTTAACAAGAATAAGTTTTAATGATAACAGTAAGAAATGTTTCTTGAGAAGCATATTAGACTGATTTCTGAAGATCATGTGACTCTGAAGACTGGAGTAATGATGCTGAAAATTCAGCTTTAACATCAGGAATAAATTACATTTTACAATAATATATTACAATCGAAAATACTTACTTTAAGTTATAATATTTCACAATATAAAAATATGACAATATTACTATTTTTACTGCATTGCTAAACAAATCAAATAAATGCAGCCTTGGTGAGAATAAGAGACTTCATTCAAAAACATTTAAAAATCTCACCGATAACTAACAGTAGATATTGTTGGATATTCTCATGTAATTGTCTTTTTTTGTCACTTTAGATTTATGCTGTAATTTGGTATTTTGTACTATTTTTTGGCCCCTTAAATATGGACCAGGCCAATTAATTGACTCAAATTTGGCCATTTTTAGATTGACACATATTGTGCCAACGTGCACATGCATTTATTTTAAATTTTTTTAACTATTTAAGAAAATTGAGTAAGCATTGTTTGTAACAATTTTCTGTCATTCAGTTTTATTAAGATATCTACAGTTGGGATTTTAAACTCTACATTTTGGACCCATGCAATTCTATAAATAAACAAGGCTTTTTATTAAAAAAATTAATAAATGAAAGAACAGTTCAATAATTGGACTCACAGCTGGATTATTGAACCTCATCGTTGGTTCTCCCTGGTCTGTATGAAATTGGTATTGGCCTTTAAAAAGCCCGGTCAAGCACTACTTGAGAGTGGTTTGTACACCGATGGAGGAGTTTATGATGGGCTGCTGCTGCTGTCGAAGGAACTTTCCTGACAGAATTTGACAGACAAAATGTCACAAAATCTCCGGAAGGAACAGGGCAGGCTCAACCTACAGTAACATTGCCTATTAAAGAAGCAGCTTTGTCTTAACAATTGTGACTTTCATTTCCACATCAAACCACAATACAGCGTGAATGTCACAGGATGATCAGACCCGAGAGATCTTCTAGAAATATTCCTCATATTCCTTATTCCTCATTACAGCACTTCCAGTTTCTGACAGGCAAGAGTCTTCTGTTGACTTGGGCTCTGTGTTTCAGAGAGGAAGTTGACACGGCTTCCTTGCTGTACAAGTGTCTTTGTGTAGGAAAAAAAGTATTAATTTCTTACTGACCCCAAACTTATGAACCCCAGTGTATGTTTAGTAAACAAAAATTCCTGTATGTTTAGTAAACAAAAGTTCCTGATCCAAGTACAACTGTAATGTGGTAATGATTTCATTAAGTTCTGTCAGTGTGGATATAGCGTCTCTTCGGTCACAGCACTCCAGACTTTCATTTAATCTCCTGTGCTTCTGTTTTCCCATACAGTGCTAGTAAATGGTTAGTT